GGGTCACATATTCTGCTAAATGTTTTCATGGAAAGTTTTAATCTGCAACATGTTAAATTCAGCCAAAATCTTATATTTTATTTTTTATTCAGACATTGGCACTTCAGATTGTCAGAGATCAGCTGGGCTTCTCTGGGCTCATCCTTTCTGACAGAACTGGGCCTGGAAGAAACCAAACTGGACCCTGGAATGAAGGAGCTCAGTGGGTTTCTCCAGTCTCCCCTCTGCAAACTACAGATATTGAGGTAGAATATTTGTTCATTCTAATAACATTACAGTGCATTACATCAAGTACATAACAGTACAGTAACATTACTTTGATCAGAAGCCCTGTGATTCTCAGTGATTCTCAACATTTTTGAGACATGACCCCAATTTCACATTGTATATGACCCCCCGATGCATGATTAATATACTTATACATTGCATTTATCAGACAAGCCTTAACTCACTTCAGCTTTTAGTCTCTTCATCGTCTTATTTTGAAACACATTGGGAATTTTTCGAAAACCATAAAGCTGCATCAAGAGGCTAACTTCCCACCCAGACTGACAATGGTCGCTCCATCCCATCATTTGGCTGTTAGAATGGCAACAAATGACACAAATTTTATTTTTATTTTTCAATGATGTAAAACAATACCAGAGTGTGCTAAACTTTAACAAATCACACTAGAAAACAGGCCATGATCCATTTTAAACATCTTTTTTTCTGGGAGCTTAAACCTGAAAATTAGTTCCTGATCCAAAGAAGAGATGTTTTTCTGTAACTATTTAAAGTGACGACTGATCCTGCTTGTTTAAACAGAGCAGTTGCATTCTTGGCTTCATGTTAGAAAAAGCCACGTGGAGATCACTCTCAGCTCTTAGTAGTCATGCTCTGCATTTTTTCTTGTATGTCAGCATAAAAAGGTCTTTTTTCAGTCATTATTCAGGAAGTACTTATTGAAACCTTCAAGCAGGCTCCTGAGGTGGGAGGCAATAATTGGTTTCCTAGTTTGAATGGTTCT